TCGTATTGATGCCTCCGCGAAAATTGGGGAAGTTGGTTTTGAGCAAACAACCATGAATTGATCGTTCAATCTTCAACTACATTGACACTCCCCGGCAAAAAGGGATCCATCCCTTTTTTCCATCACGACCAATACACGTTGACTTGGATGCCATTGCGAGAACCTGGGTCACACGGACAGAGCTGAAATGGAAAACAAACAGAAAAGCCAACACACCACAAGCATACCCACAGCACAATCTCACACATCAATGACGACCTGCGCCTTCCAGTTAAAGGCATCCTCTTGACATCTTGCAACACAATCGCCACTTGCTAGAATGACTCTTGCAGAATGCAACGTGACCATAGCACCAACTCATGATACTCTACGCACATCCTCTTATCTACTCACTACCAATTACCACTGAAATCGCTTGTCACTCATTCTGCCTCAGTTCTAGTAACGGTGACGTATGCGAGCCTCAGTCGTTTACACTCTTTCTCCCCGGCGTGTCGGACCGCAGCTAACAATTATCTCCGTATGCATTTCATTCTCAGCAATAGCCTAGCCTCCCCGGCGTATACGACCCATCTGCTGTCTCTAACATCAATCAATTCATTCACGGATGTAGAAGACTCGAAACAACTTCAGAAGTAATCACGACGAAAATTTTAACAAAATTATGCAATAAAAACAAGGTACGAAAACAACAAGTAAACACAATGAATCCAAAAAACACCAATTGATATGACACACCACACATATATACAAACAGTACACAAAAACTCGCGGATCATGTCTTGATGGAATTCCTTTGAAGAATCGCAGGACTTACACCAGTACGCCTACAACCCTTCTCACGTTGACGATTGTAAGTTGTGGAATGTCCGGACACAAACAAGATTAACCAACAATTACAATAATTGGAACTCACACAATTATTTAACACAAACATATGTACAATCAACACATCAAATGTTGTGGACTCTGGTATGAAAAACTACCCTTGAAGAACTGTAGGACTTACAGCAGTACGCCTACATTCCTTCTCAGGTTGATAATACGAGTGGAAGTCGTCCGGACACAAACAGAATTACCAACAGCTAGATGATAGATGATATCAATTCAGTATATACAATATGAACATATGTACAAAATCACACACCGAGCACATTGGACTGCTCATTGATGCGCTACCCTTTGAAGAATTGTAGGACTTACAGCAGTACGCCTACAACCCTTCTCAGGTTGACGCCCTAGGTTGGAAAATCGTCGCAGAGTTCATTTGCTGACTTCCCTCTATCAGCTATATCCTCAAATCTGAACGGCAACACGCTCATGTCATTGTATCGTAGAATATAGATGACGAACAAACATACGACGTATCTGGTCAACCAAGCGTAGGCACAGAGTAATTTACACCAAAGATAATAGCATTCAAATAGTAACTTGAAACTAGAAATGCCTTTATTCATGCAAGTCAATTTAACAATTACTCTTTCGTTTACACTTGGCTTATTTTCACTAAACTGACCAATATCTTTCGTCTTTTCAAATGCACCAATACTATCATAGTCATTGCACAAGATACTTGAGTTGATGGGCGTCTGTTTCATTGTGGATGACAACACCAACGACGACTGATTGATACCAGTTGATGAACTTAGCGGTGGATCAGAAGCTGTTGTTGTTCGGCTTTCAGAAAGTTGTCTAACTGCAAGATTACTACCACTGCTGTCTTTTACTATTAGCTCAGGTTTAGCACTAGCATCTGATGATAGGTGGGCTACATGCTGATCAATTACACTGACGGTCTCACAAGTATACATGCCTGCTGCAACTGCATTTATTTCTACTTCACCTTTGAGCTGTACAGAACCCTTATTTAACTTAGCAGTAGTAGGCACTCCCCTCATTTCATCATGATCAACCAAAGACAAATCTGCACTATCATGATCATTATCACAAATATTCAATTTACCATCATCTATCTGGTCGACTTCATCATTTTCAAACTCTTTAATAACAGCAGTAGATGATTTGGGTTCTTCCTCACAAATCCCTAAACATTTTATACCTTCACTCTGACTAGTAATACCTTGTAAACTTGTGGAGTCAGAACTGCACTCTGAGACTGTAACTCTCTTCTGTGACACTCTATTCAACAATGGCTTACCAGTTGCAACTACAGACTTCTTCACCGCACCGTTATCGTCACACAATTCGGAGTCAGGCCTGGAGTTTACATTTAGCTTATCACTGAACTTGCTCACTGGTTCACAGTTCACCTTTGTATGCACCTCTTGCAAACGTGTAAAACACAACCGTGTTTGTCTTGCATCTTGTAACTTATCTGTTGAGGATGTACTACGAAACCTGTTACACTCACTAGGTCTATATGCATTACTAGACATCATGGAGCCTTCTCGATATCCACCTCTCTGAGGCCTATTCGTCATCAATGATTGCATTTTGCTCTCAGACTGCTCTATTCTAGGGGTGAGATTCAATATACTGGCAAACTTGCTCATAGATTGATTGACACTATCTTTTACCAGTTTCAGGATATCATCAAACTTTGGCTCGATACCCTCATCCTCCATACGGGAGCTTATCTTCACCCACTTCCTTTGCAGTCGAGTAGGTAGGCGTCTTGCTATTACTTCTAGTATAAAACTCGAGTTGAGGTCACTCATGCAATTCATCGAAATCAATGCATTCTTGTAAGTCAACAGATTATCCAAAAACTCAGTGAGTGCCTTGGAGTCATCTTGTAGTTGACTACCATTACCCTTAACAGCCTCGAATAATTTCCCTACAATCATCGAAGGTCTTCCAAACCTTTGACGTAGTATGCTCATAGCCTCAGCGTATCCCTCATTAGGGGGCATAAACTTACAGCACTGTATAGCTCTTGAAGCATCTCCAGTGCAATACCTCATCAAATACATCAATTTCAATTCATCGCTTTATAAAAACTACTCAGCATGATCTCAAACTCCTTTACAAATTGTAAATAATCAGCTGGGTTTCCATCGAAACACCGTGGTTCAAATTTAGGGAGTTTGATGTTCCTATTATCCCTGAACGGCGAAACAGTAACATCAACCATGTCATGCTTAACATCAGACACATCGTTACAATTAACAGACAAGTCACAATGACTTACTTTCCTGTTTGCATCCAAGACACTCTGTCCCTTCTTTGACCCAGGCATTGTTGAACTTGACCCAATTCCAAAAACGTTCCAGATATTGCTTGTTCAAAGAGGACTTGACCGGCACCAGGAAAGATGAACGGTGACTATCCAAACTGTCACCAACTTTTCGAAACCGTCGAAACCTGACTTCACCGTCAGAAACTGTCAGCCGCGTCTCATAAACCGTTAATGCCCAGCTCTTGCTGCACTCGGGCTCACGCTGTTCCTTGAAGTTTCTCAGAAACGCTTAGTAATAACGAACGCAAAAACCAAAACACCAATTGTTGACTCGAGGATTCTTTATTGTTGCACCAACATATAAAAAATGTTTCCACTAAGGTCTGTGAACAAATATTACAATAATAAATCACAATATTACTTCTGACAGTTTTATACTGACTTCTTTCTGAACAGCGACCGATGAGACGATGACTGTCGTCTTGATGCCTCCGCGAAAATTGGGGAAGTTGGTATTGAGCAAACAACCATGAATTGATCGTTCAATCTTCAACTACATTGACAACTTATGTATCTTATTTTTCTGTATGAAGGTGAAGCAATGGTATTTAATTATTTAGAAATTAACGAGACAGGCATTGAGATAACTAAGTGAAAACTAAATCTACCACAATGCATTGTAGAGTGTGCAACCTGTTGAGTAAGTTATATCCATATTTAGATATATTGGGCACCGGGAAGTTCAGAGTGTCCCAAAACAAGAAAGAGCGGTCTTCCAGCTCAAATTTACGGTGCATTATCCCTAACAGCGCGTCACCCATCAGTTTGATAGCATTGAAAAATTCACCCGGAAAATGAAATTAACTACATTGGACTTTGGCATGTTGGAACGAATAAGTGATATTTTACACCAGAGAATAGGAAACGTAGATATGGTTATTCCTTTTATACGCTGGTAAACAAGAGACACGGTCTACCAACTGTCACCTAGATATAACTGTTCACAGTGAGTCATTCATGTGGTAACAGCAGAAAGAAAACGCAGAGACATTATAAACCAAGATAGGCGAGGATTGCGTAATATCGTCTGCCATAAGAATTGCAGTCATTGAAGTGAAAGCCAAATTTGATGTTTGCAAATGTTTCTGCATCAGGGATTACTCACCTACAGAAGATCTTTCAACGCGTTTAAAAAGCGAAACAGAAGCTCAAGATGAAAATGAAAGAGGATTATGGGAACCACCAAGTTTTGATGCCTGACTGTGGTATTCGTGAGTTTAGATTGATTGAAAACTATCAAAGTCTTCTGTATAGAGTTTTAAACTAAAATGATATTTTAAATGCGCTTCTCAAATCTCAACTACATCTGCAGCTTTGAGCCCATGAAAGTTTCACTATTATACAATCATTTCGAGGGTATATACTCTTTTTGTTCGATTAGCTAAACCTGTGCTAACAAAAGAATTCACCAAAAGGAATCAAAGGCTCAATTTTATCGACACTAACAAAAGTCTTAGCACGCCGCATTCTTCAAAAAACACATAATTAATCCCAGCAACAATACTTGCGCAGTCGACCAAAGCTGCGACAGTCGAGTGGCGGGACGAACTACGCAGAAGTCTACTGAAGACCAGAAACCTTTACCTCACAGTTTAGAAGCGAGGACAAAGAAATTAATTTGGTTAATACTTGCTCGTATAAACGATATCGGATATTGGAATGATAAGTGACAATTTTTCTTTTCCGAAATCACACATCCAAATGATAAAAAGTCTCTGAGATGACTCCTCCATACTTTAAATGTCATGACAATTTATAAAAATTTCTGTGGATTGTTGTTTGTTTGATTGAGTTAATATATGAATAAAATGTCCTTGTGCTGAAGAACTATTATGAATTTTCATTTTAATGTTACGGGATAATGTTGTCTGGAAAATATAAAGGGTCAGTCTCTTCATATTTTATTTACCCACTGTTATCCCTCTTTATTAGCTCATTTTTTTATTATGCTAAATTGGGCTAGGTTTGGTTGTGATGCTTACAAAAGACAATAATGTAAATGTAGAACTTGGACACTGTGGTAGAATGTAATTACATATTGGATAGGTTTATTTTAAATATCACAAAGCACTGCAGCATTAACAACTGAGTAACGTTTCGAGCACGATTTATTTCGCACAGTCATCCAGCCATGGCCTTTAAACTCCGAATCAGAAAAAGATACTGGTACTAAGTAAATAATACTACATTCGCAAAAATGTCGGAAAAGGTATTAGAACATTACACATAGTATGTGGTTATGGAAATACTATCAATTAGGTCATATTAAGAATGAGATTATGGTTAAGTTATGGACTGAGATTTGATGGGTGATTTCTTGGAACGGTACATCGTTCGTGTAGAGGACTTTGTTCATAGGTTCGTTTGTTGGCCACTTTCGTTCTGATTTCTTGCACTAAGTTTTTGCTAGGACATTGTGTCCATCCAATCTCTTTTCATTGTCTTAATCGTGAAGTCTGCCTTAACTTAGTATTTTGGATAATGTTTGTCCTGTAATTTGTATTGGTTCACCATATCATTGTTTTGTGTGTTTATTCTAATAATTCTAAAGTATATATTTGTATATTTAACGTTACTTGACCGATTTTTTCACAACAAAAAGTGGAATTCCGTTATTATATATATTGTGATATCTCACAAAATATATTTGCATAGTGCTGTAGTGAAAGCCAAAAAAAGCAATTCTCGTCAGCCGCCCTTTTGATTGTGACCCAAATATTAATAATACATCATTAACATCGCAAATAGTATGGCAGGCAATAGGACGAAAGATAAGTGTTTTGTTTTCATCAGTATCTTCGCTAAAATTCACTTGAACTGCCTTTGGATTCCTGATAACAAGAATGATGATAACAGTCCGCCGTTATCCTTAAAGCCAGTAGTTGATTTTGGTGACTTAATGCTTGGATCTTTTCTCAGAACTGTGCCCAGAATACCCTTAGTTCACATGAAATCTCCATTTAAAGTCACAATTATATCTTGCAACCTTCTTTTTTAGGTAAGTAGTATTCAAATATGCTGCGTTAACCTAGATTCTAGTATAAAGCTAAATATTTCACTAAATTTCTTAAGTTCTTCTTGAAAACACTTTCCTTCTTCCAGTCCTGATAACTTTAATTAAGTAAAATTAAGTGTTTAGATACCTATTTGGTTTAATAAGTTAGTATTGGGACTTATTCTAAAATAAGTGAAACAGTTGGCCTAAACTGCATTTTTAGTGGAGTATTTACAATCTTTAAAGTCTTTCTTTTACTCGTCGACTGAATACAACATGCATTTGGCAGTAATGTGAATGAATAGGATTAGTGTGGAATATGTGTTTATGGCTGCTAATGTTTACAAAACTAACCAGATTATAGAGTAAGTGCAGTTGTCATATATGGTCTCATTTTCCATATCTTATTCAGAACAGAATTTACTTATTTTAACTATATGCGGGTTATTATCATGATATTTCCAATAAATAGGCTAATATGTGCGTCGGTGGCACAGCGGTTGGGACTTCCGCTGACCATACACATGGTCCAGGGTTCGATCCCTTGCCGACGCGCACCTAATATCAATTGGTTGGCCTGCAAAATTTGGGCTACTGATATCACATGCTGAAAATTCCATACTTCTACCAAAAATACGGTGTGGAATCAAGCTATAATAAAAAAAAACTGTTAAAACAGTGACCGATTATTACCCTATTGTCAGGAAGGAATTTTCCTTTCGTTTGTATTCTTGGTGGAAATGTCTCACATTGATTTTAGTTCTTCAAGAATTTATTGATAACGTGTTTTAATACGCACGTTTCATCTCTTCTGACTGTACTCAGAGCCGTATATGCTTCACTTCTTTAATCTCCGATTATGTGGATTTAAGGAAATTACATTTGCCTAGGAAAATGTCCTTAACTTTCTGTGTTCTTCGAAAAAATTTTCCCAAGTATTAACTAATTCTGTATACAAACAACCGTCAGTTTTGTTTTTTAGTTCCAGACAAAAGTAGAATTCGCTAGAGTAATGTAAAGGTCAAAATGTCTTATCTGTATCCGTCTTAAAATTTTCTAGTTCATTTTCCTTTACTTGCATCTCGTTAATTGTAGTGGTATTCAAATCGCTGAGTATTTATGTGACGCTTAAATGGTTAGTATCCTTTAGTTTTCAACACTTATGAAAAGCTTGTTTCTATAAGAACATATTTAAAAGATGGTTGACCTAATTCTACGTTGACATTTTGGTCCGCCAGCTATCCATACTGGATTGAATGGAAAAAGTAACAAAAGCATCTAAATACACTATGGTAATTTTAAGCACTAGAGTTTTGTAAGGTTACCGGTAGTGTATCCATAAGTGCATAGATTGGGCTTGTCAGTTGAATGGATTGTATTTGGTGTGACTTAATAAATTTGAGTTCTTCTGTATTCCGATTAATTCAGAGGATCTGAATATGTTTACACCTTGTACAGGCTTTATTTAATGTTTTTATTAGATGATTGAAGGCAATCAGCGAGAAGCCTTGACCTAGGTTTCTTACTTGTTGACACTCGTCAGTCAGCAAAGCGTTTCTGTAACCTTGAAGGAACTAATATCCCTTCTGAAATTCGGACCCGTGTCACCAAATGCTGCAGCAGAGATGTTAACCCTAGGCTATTCGGTCTTGCGACTGACCTCCTGTAGGAATGTAATAGATACTTTGACTGGACACTAGATAATGTGTAACCAGTGTCGTGCGTCTAATCCTTTGTTTACTTCAGTGAGAGTGCTATGCGGCCAATACTTTCTGCATTATGTCTCACCGTCTTTTGACACAACTATGAAGAGAGATATTAGACTGTAAGTTTCCGAATAAGTAAATAAACATCTACTTACTTGACTCTAAATGCGTTACAAAATTTTCTTAGGTCCACTAAATCAATCGATGTCATTCCTGTAAATTCTAATCGACCAAAGTTAACGAAATCTTGGAGTTTCAAAGACAGTATTTTGGCACTTAGATTTGGTCGGACATCACTTTCAGAAACACAAGAATCTCAGTATGTTTCACCTAAACTGTATCAATTGGAAGATCAATTTTATCATCCTGCATCTAAATGCGATGTATGGCGTGCCCTTTGTCCTCAAGAATTGCCTGATTCTGCTGTATATCTAACAAAGCCAGTGTGCAATCTGTCCAACGAAGTCTTTGCTTCAGTCACAGGTCCAAAGAAAGGTTTAGTTACTGCAAACAAATGGCGCAAGTCTAAAATAAATAATGCTAGTGAAAGTAAGTGTCTTCAGTTTTTGAGCATTTCATGTTTGATTAATGGAAAATAATGAATTTTAACGGTTTAAGTTAGATTGTGGACAGCTTGAAAGGATTCCCGTTGGGCTATCATATTTGTTATTAACTAACGAAAACCACTTTCATATCTTCACCTAAAATAATTTCCATTCAGCTGTTTCTCCATCACCCAGTATTTAATAATGTTCTCCAGCATTTAACATAATGATACGTCAAAAAATATCGAGGATTCTTTTATTGAATGTGGATGCAGGAAATTGACTCCAAGTACTTTGGTTTATTTAACTTGTTTACAATTGGATTTCTTAAGAATTTCACTGAGTCATCAATAGTCCATATTGCTGACAAACAGTAAAAGATTAGGTGGAAGTTCTTCCACAGATCAGGGTGAAATCTCACTACCGTTTCTTTGTAAGCCAAGACGAATCAAATCACAATGTTTAGTCAGCTTGCTACCCTAGATCACAATCAAGCAAGCAAAAATGAATGGCTCTATATACTACTAATAACTAATTGGTATTAGTGGTTGAATACCACTCACATCAACTAGTAGTGGTTGCTAGTCAACCAGATGGATGTGATCTGAACACTGGGCGACTGTTTCGCTCATTTATGATGCCCGACCGATAGCTGCTACCTTGACGTGACGGTCGGGCTTGCACATCGCGATTACCCAACAAGCTACACTGGCTGGAACCAATGTTCCTGCAGGTCCTACCATGCCAGGAAGGTTGTTAGGATAGCGATTAGACTAAAAGCAGTTACCGGCTCAGTGTAAGAATCTTTCTTACACTATGTTGGGGGTCTGAGGGCGAATTTGTACTGCTGGGAACAGGGATGTAACAGCAATAAAGCGTTTCCCTCAGATGACCAGCATGTCAGCCAGCTATGCTGTCTCTCCAATCTGGAGAGAAGGGGTTAGAAAAGGTCAACCCTAAAAATTGTACATCCCGATATACCCTACGATGGTCCGTAACCGCCGGTAGGTTTACTAATACGGAACCAATCCCAGAAACCAATTCATACTGGCCGTGTGTGGCCAGCCTCAAGCAGCTGTCCCCTGGGCTCTTCGGTCACGCAACACTCTTTCTGTTTCAGGTACCCTAAGAATCAATCAACTTCCACTGTGTGGGCAGCCGGGAAGTAACGACTGCCCACACACTTCCAAAAGCATATACAGCCTCCCTGAACATCATTTAGGATGGTATATGCTGCTGATAACCTGGGCTCCAGGTCACTTTGATCTGGTGAACTAGCAATCACCACTGGTTGATGTGGGTGGTATCCAACTACTGACTGATTAGTAATCAGTCAGTAGTTTATAGCACCATGAATCCAATCATCATTTTTATTTAGCGGCACTTGTGTACACTTTGCTGCTTCTTTAACCAAGTTGTATATAAAAGGTATGTATGTTCGTTCAGTTTGAAAGGAAAACAAGGGATAGAAGTTTGAACTCAGTGTAGTAAGTGAAATGAATATCACTGCTTTAGTTCCAAATATTTGACGAATTAAGTTAAATTGAAGAAACAATAATTTCGGTTGTTTCAACTTCACTTTGTTGACTCAGCTGTTTGGAGAAATGGCCACTTTTCTAGTAAATATGCTTAAAGCTAGGGATTACTTTTCTAGTATTTTGACATTAGTGAACCATATTAGACAAAGGAATTTGTGGAAAATACCCATAGGAACATTAGATTGAAAAGAACAAGAAGTTCAGCAAAGATGACGATCTTTTCGGCGATTTCATTCTCAAAAGTAGCTGTACAATCGCATTTATATAGATTAATTTACATGGATACAATTATCATTTATTTAATTCCGCATAGTAACGAAGGTGATAATAATTTTCAACTTGTTATGAATGTCTGGAGGTACGAATATAGATTACAAGGGGCTTAGAGACACAGGGATAGAACAAATTACAGATGTGAACAAAATGAGCATGGAAACAAATTGAAATCAAAATTTTTAACTTAAAATGTAAGTTAGGAGGTGTGAATATAGATTACAAGAGGCATAGAAACAAAAAGAAATTAAACAGGATTAGAATATAATTGTAAAATGGTTATTCTAATCTATATAAATCCTATGTTTAGAATAACCATTTTACAATTATATTCTAATCCTGTGTAATATTTTGTTTCTATGCCTTTTGTAATCTATATTCACACCTCCTAACATGCATTTCAAGTTAAAAATTTTGATTTCAATTTGTTTCCATGCTCATTTTGTTCATACATGTAATTCGTTCTATCCCTGTGTCTCTAAGCCCCTTGTAATTCATGTCATGTTGAAAATTATTATCTCCTTCGTTACTATGTGTGAAATTAAATAAATGATAATTGTATCCATGTAAATTAATCTATATAAATGGGATTGTACAGCTACTTTTGAGAATGAAATCGCCGAAAAGATCGTCATCTTTGCTGAACTTCTTGTTCCTTTCAAAGGAATTTGTGACACTGACTTCTGAAACACTATGCCTAACCTACTGGTATAACTTCTTAATGTGTATTATAATGTAGTACGTTAACATCGTATCATGATTGACCTCTGACTGAGGTGCATCAGCGCAAAAATTAAGATCAATATTTGCCGTACTAAATATAGTTGATCGTTGTGTTCTTAATATACAGAAAGTCGATAAAACATGCCAAAACCTAATTTATTCCTTTTTAGAGGCAAAATTAAATGTAAAGTCAAGCATTTCAGAAAGTCATTGACTTTTGTTTATTACACTTAGACGAAGAAAGCTGACCAAGGCTTTAGTCGTGTCTCTTATTACTTCATTTCTGCACACTTCTGAGACTAATACTTCAAATAGCCTTCAGATTGGATACTAAAACTGCCACTATCCAAGCTGATGACAACTTCAAGCAGTTGAGAATCAATAATCGACTTACTGAATGATTTTCAAAGCAGAAATTTGCACAGAAGTACAGCGCTGTAAGTTGCCACACTCTATATAATACAAAGTAGAGAAAACAGATAAAAAAGAAGTTCGGATGAACAGTCATCATCAGAAACGTACTGCATAAAAATGGTTACATTGATTCAATAGATTTGGGAGATTACAACGAGTGGATGAATCCGCACCCCTGAGAAAGACTTGAGGCCCTGTCACAAAAAGCCTCTAGCCTCTTAGCGTCTCGTGAATCCCCGCCAGGTAGTCTACATATCTCTCATTGGCTCAAACCAACTGTCAGAGACTTTATCGACTGATACCATGTTTTGGTTTGCCTACCCCTAATTCTTTACCAAGCTTATTCTGTGTCGGCTAACACTACTCATTGAGGAAAGCTATGGTTTCGCATGCGTAAACCATGTTCTGGTTATCACCAAAATCTCGTGGACTCACTTACCCTTCTTAGCTAGTACTCTACGCCTAACCTCAGTATTACTCATTATATCGTGCCAATGAATACAGGAGATAGAGTTTAGGCATTTATGGTTAAAAACAGATGGATTCTTTACCTTTTCCATTTCCAATGGCTATGTCTCACAGCTTTAAAAAAATTGGTAGAACAAACTGCTGCGTAGTATACAAGCCCCCACTACCGAAAGCTGGATATCAATACTACGCGAAAGATGGCATGAGCTAGAAAACGCCGCACAGACCTTTTGCTGTTGTGCTTGTTTATTTGTTGGGAACACATTTTAGTGAAATGATAATGGATCAATTTTCTATATAGTTTGGTTTGTAAAGGTTTATTTTGCTTTTATGAGTTGATCACGGATTGATATCAGCTAGAGTACTACTGAAAACCAGGGAGTACTGCCTGACAGCTCTTTCATCCTAGTTTGGGAATCGTCGGAAGTACACAACCCAACACCAAGGTTCGAACCCAGGACCTTCCGGTTAAAAGACAAGCTGGCTAGCATACCATTCAGCAACTGGGACCTGATTCAGTGAATTCTACCTTCTACCGATTCGTGATTTAGCGCGACCCCAACCATTGTCGTAGGTGGGACATCCATCCTCACACACGTGACAGACATCTGGATGGACCTTACTGGTCACAACTTCTCACTAGAATTGTTAGAAGTTAGAATTCATGAGACATTGATCAGGTCCCAGTGGCTGAATTGTATACAAGCTTGCCTTGTAACTAGAAAGTCCTGGGTTCGAACGTTGGTTGGAGGGTGAGTACTTCTGATGATTCCAAACTAAGGTGAAAGAGCTGTGAGGCAGTAATTTCTGGTTTTCAATTGTTTTCTAGCTGATTATGGATTAGTTAAAGTTAAATGAAACTCAACCTTTGTGATGTCGACATTTTATTCTGCATGAGAGGTGTAGCAGTAACATGTAGAAATATTTTTTAATTATGAATCTGAATAATGGCTGTAAATTTCATCCATGCATTTTCAATGTGACCACCTCAAAATATCGAAGAACTCGATATCTGTCATCCGCATATATATGAAATTACTAAAGGCAACTACTGGAGAGAGAAAAAAAGGATAATAAAACTCAATGACTAATTACGTTTATAATGTGGAAGTCCACACAAGTTTAAAAAGTTTGGTTCTGTACATGTGAAAAAGTAGATTACCACAAAGAACCGTTGATACTATGGATATTAGAGACTGCGAATAATTGAAAGTCAGGCTCTGGACTACCACCATTTTGTTTGTTTCTACCTCGTCAATTTTTTTTTGATGAAACATACCTTCTACTTTTTCTGCTCCCTGTGCGTCGGTGGCATAGTGGTTAGGACTCTCGCCGACCATGCACATGGTCCGTGGTTCGACCCCCTGCTGACGCACACCTGATATCTATGGTCGGCCTGCAAAATTTGGGCTACCGATATCACATACTGAAAGTTCCATACCTGTACCCAAAAATACAGTGTGAAATCAAGCTGTAATCAAAAAAATAAATAAATATGCATTTACAAAATATACTTTTTTTATTTTTTATTTTTTGATGGTTGGAGGAAATCGCAAGGAAGCCTTGCTCGACCTAGGTTTCGTGCTAGTTGGCACCCACCAGTCAGTCAGCAAGGCGTATCTGCAACCTTGAAAGAACTCGTGTCCCCTCTGACGTTCGAACCCATATTACCCAATACTGCAGTCAGAAACATTACCACTGAGCTATTCGGTCTTGTGACTAACCTCCTGTAGGACTATAGTGGATATTTTTGATATGACACTAGCAACTAGTGTGATGTGTCTAGTCCTCTCTTTGGTGCAGAATGAATTCTATCAGTCAGGTTTGTAATGTGGCCACCATTCTAGGTAGCTCGCCATCACGGTGCATATAGATTTGATGATATTAGATGGTTGGAAGCAATCGGCAGGAAGCTCTGCTCCACCTAGGTTTTGTGCTAGTTGGCACTCACCAGTCAGTCAGCAAGGCGTATCTGCAACCTTGAATGAACTCATGTCATCAAATCAGTAAGCACCGTGATGGCGAGCTACCTAGAATGGTGACCACATTACAAACCTGACTGATAGAATTCAGTCTGCATCAAAGAGAGGACTAGACACATCAGACTAGTTACTAATGTCAAATAAAAAATACTGTAATATGTTCACTACGGCAACTAGATGTCAGCCTCCTGAGTACTTGAATAGTGAAAATTAATTGTGAAAGCTATTTTGATCATATAAATTAACTTACTAGATCACTGATCTACTGAAGTTTACTTCCTATCACCTTTGTGCAACAGCTCATTGAGTTGCTCAAAAACACGCTGATTACAAAGGTATATTCTTGTGAAATTTCACTCGCTAAGAGAAAAATAACATATTACACAACAAAATATTGACTGAGTAAGTTTGGATTTTGCAAATTCTTAAAAAAAGCATTAATTTTATGTAGGCATAAATAGAAACAATCAACCAATGTTAACATAAAGCAGGATTTAATAAGTCCATCATGATGCAAAACGACAGGTACAAATGTCTTAACGGTCAGGTTTAGATAGATAAGAGGGAAAGGAGCTTTGAGAGATTAATAATTTAGATTATAATGAATTATGATTCATTCACGTCACTAACATAAGCAAATGGTTACCAAAACGAAGCTGAAAATGTCAGGAGTTAAAAACTGAATAAAAATAATAATAATAATGAGACGAGTTGACGTACTGACACTGACAAAAGACACTTCTAAATGAGTCAAGAAGACTTTGAAAAGGCCTGAAGCAGACAGCATCGATCGAGAAGTAATTTGGCAACTACTTCACTACTGTGGGGTGCCACCAACAATTATGCACCTCATCCAATAGTTGTATGACAATGCTGTTTACCACGTAATCTGTAACAGGAAACTCACGGAATCTTTCGAAGTGAAGACAGGAGTAAGAAAAGATGACTACCCTCTCTAATGATTTTCCTGATTGTGGTAGACTGGATAATGCGACAGAGAGCGGACAGCAAGAAAACAGGCATAAAATGGACCCACACAAAACACTTGGAGGATCTGGACTTCACCAATGATATTTGTGTGATTTCCCACACACTGGAAGATAGGCAAGTGAAAAGCAACAAGCTGGTGGTAGAAGAAGCATCTAGAGAAGATAGGACGTCAGGTAAACATAGAGAAGATAGCGGTAGGTGATGAAGTTTCCTGGCAAACAGACAACAATCAGCACAAATGGGAGAAACCTGAACGAGGCAACCTCCTTTGCCTAACTGGGAAGTATGGTTTCAACTACAGGCAGACAGAACTGAAGAGAATATCAAAGCAAGGATCGCGAAAGCAAGACAAGCTTTCATTTCTCTCTAGTCTGAGTGGATGTCAGTAGCACTCCAACGTGAAGTCAGTGCTACTTACTATATGGATCAGTGACCTGGCGCCACGTCATGAAGAGCATCTCAAACAAACTACAGACCTTCATCAACAGCTGTCTTCGCTCAATACTCAGGATCAGATGGCCGGCTAGAAAAGATCAACAACAGGGATCTCTTGGCGAAAACCAACCAGGAACCAATTGTTCAACAAATATGCATAAGCAACTGGAGGTGGATTGGGCATACTCTGAGAAAGCCATCACTTGCTAGTCCATCGGTCGAGTGTGACTCCAATGGAAAGCCACGAGTTGGTCGTCAGTGCGAGGGTGACATGGAAGAGTTCATGTGAAGAGGAGATGAAAGTATGTAGGCAGACCTGAGGCAAAGAATCTTACCCAATGGAGAAGCTTGGCTGAAATCCTAAGTTCCTCTAGAAGCTAAAGGAGATAATAATAATAATATTAATAACAGATGGAATATAATATTACTGATAATAACACTTAATAATTAAAAGATATTACCTTAATAGATTGAAACTGACCATCATTTCCATTCTTGTTGGTAATCGTGTCTAAGTACGTGAACAAATTGTGACTTTTATTGTTCAGTTTGATCTTGACACAATCAGTAATCATAACAGCTACCACAATTCTTTCTTTTTAAAGAAGTTGGCTAACTAAACATGGATTTCATTAAAGGAATTTGCTTTCTACATTTCTTCTTTTTATTCTTCACGTTCCCAGTGGAACGTAGGGCTTCAAGCTAGAGGCTTGAAGTTTCTGTAGCAGTGTGTATTCTTACAGGATAGGGTTGCTAGCCTCATGCCCAGCCTTTCTTCTTTAGAAGCTTTATTTCTGGGTTAGCGAGGTAAAGGAGTGTGTCGGCTGGGGGTCGAACCCTGGACCATGTGTATGGTGGGCGAGCATCCTAACCGCTATTCCACCGACGCACCTTTCTACATTTCTACAGTCTGGCAAACAATGGAAATATTAAATAAGATAAGTTAACTTTTTTAATTTTATTATTTTCTTTATTTGTCTTACAGTTCATCCTGGTAATTGGGAAGTGATAGAAAATCGAAAAGCACATGGACTATCAGTATCTTTGTATGAAAAGAATCTGGTGACTGGTAAAACTAACGGTATGCGAGGTTTAAAGATGTTTTACATTAATTATTGTTGTTAATACTTACTGAAGATTTTCAAAGATATACTACCCGTGTCATCAGTTGGCAGTTGTCAGTGTTGAACAGTAGAGGGAACAGAAATAAAATCACAGTATTTTGATTAACGATGACCAACAATAGAATTCAGAATGCACCGTTCATCCTGTTTGACACTTATCACTTGGATTTATCTGCATTCTATCCAGTGGGTTTTCGTGTTCCCACCGAGACCCAAACCCCACACTCATGGTTTTAATCGCTAAAGCATTATCCACTAAGCCACTAGGAGATGAAAACCACCTCTTGTGCAACAGTATCAGTTATCATCCGTTTTTAAGTTTGACGTTTTAATGCAAAAGCCCCACTGGAAATGTAAGCATATCCAGTTGACGAGCCCGAAGTAGGACGAAACGCGCATCCTATATTTCCCTTTAACTCTCAAATACTATTAAAGACCGAACATTCCAGTCTCAAATAATCAATCAACAAGAAATGTTAATTAACACAAAAAGGAACACATAATTACCATATTGACTTTAAGGCATCTTCAAAGACGTATCACTTTGATCAACTATCATTATTCATTCTATTTTCAATAAGTAGTGACTGTTACTTATCGTACGTACAAAAGAGAGGTGACTTGTATAGTTCAGCCTCTTGGTAATTGAAATGATGAGTAATGAGTTTTATTGTAAGTGGGTGGAAACATCATCAACTGACTGAGATACAACCATGCTCAGATGACAAGTTTCACAGAAGATAAAACAAGCCTTTTGGACTCCATTGGTGGTTAGCTACTATCAGCCAAATAACACCGTGTTAATCCGAAGACATCGTCAAAGCGTTCATTCCTGTAGCTGACATGTGAACATATTGTAGATTTCCATCCGAAAAAAGACAAAAGGAGAATTCAGTTAATTTCAATTAATAACCACTCATACTGTGTTGTGTCATTTAGTTGTGACATAAAGATAGACGAGTTTTCTAAGTACATAACTAAATTAGGTCAAGAATGATACAATAATATTTAGTGTAGTGTCAGATATCAGACTATGGATAGAGTTTGTCAAGGAGGTTAAAGGTATGAACATTTAGCCAGATTGATCAACATCGCGATGAGCCGCAATCATCATAAAGAATCAACAAAATAACGAAAATATTCATTTAGACATCTATAAAATACAAAATAATTGAGCAAAAATATCCTTATATATATATCGAATATGCTAAATTATTAGTCAATAACAATATTAATATCCAAGTATTGGTTTGTAGGGATTTGACTGACTGGTTACAGGATTTCATCATGAGCTGACATTGGTTAGAGATACTTACTGGCGACTGGCTCTATTCGGGTTCCAGTGGGAAATCGTGACCAGTAGGGTGCAGAAGGTTGGGTGTGAGGACAAATACTCGCCGAAGACATTGGCTAGTGGGTTGCGCTATATCGTGAATTGGCAGAAGTTAGAATTCATGGGCTGGCCATTGGATCGGGCCCCAGTGGCTTAACGGTATACGAGCTCACCTTGTGACTAGAAGGCCCTGAGTTCTAACACCAGTGACTGCGTACTGCTGAAGAGTCCCAAACTAGGACGTAGGAAACATCTGTCCAGTACTCTCACTGGTTTTTCAATAGTTTTCTATCCAAGTCAGCTCATGATGAAATCCTGTAACCAAACAATATTAGTGTTTTTTAAATAATATCGATTTGTAAAGTATGATCAGTGGAATTACAGTTCATTAAAAATACTTAAAATTATATTAATAATGATAAAGATATAATAGCAAATATAATATCAACTAAAATTAGGAAAATTCCACAAAAATTCAGGATCATTCAAACCTAGATAGCCAAAGTAAGGATAATGTCTGAACTAGCTTCTTTTGGACGCACAAATTAGGCTTCTTGATCAATATGGATCCCCACAACCTCAGCAATATTTAGTAGTCGAACTCTTAAGGCAAAATTGAGATTCGTAGGTATGCGGTAAATGACTCTGAAAGCCTGGTTAACATCCATCTTGTGTTCTGTCGCATCCACAAAATAAGATAGAATGGCGATACGAATAGATTTTGTTTGTCCTTAACTAAACCAAACATGGTGATGTTCAGAAATTTAAGGAGAAACACGCCTAATTGTACGGCCTATGCAACTTACTGGCTCACTCCACAGGAGCACTTAAATTTGCATTATTATCAGTAGTCAACAGACATAATTCTCTGCAAAATTAAAGATTTTTAAATTTTTTTTCTGTTTCTTTACATCACGAGTAGAACATAGGGTGTTTCGAGGAAGAGTTCTAAAGTTTCAGGAGCAGGGGTTTCTTTACGGGGTTCGATTGCTAGCCCCACACCCAACCTTACCCCTTTATCGGATTAACCATCAGCTGAGAGAGAGGTTTAGGAGTGCGTCAGCTAGGGATCGAATCCCGCATCACATGTGTGGTTGGCAAGCATCCTACTGCTGCACTACCAACGCAGTATAATTAGAAATGTTCAGGTATTGGTTTTGTAAGGATTTTTGTTTGATTGCATGGAGGATTTCATCATGAGCTGACGTCAGTTAGAGAAACACTGGGAAACCTGCAGAGAGTACTGGACAGCTGTTTCGTCCCAGTTTGGGACTCTTCAGCATTACGCACTCACCGCGGTTCAAACCCAGGACCTTCTGGTTACAAGGCTGGCTAGCTCGTAGACCACTGAGCCACTGGGACCTGATGTCCACTTTTTTAATCGAAGTTTCACATTAAGCTAATTATAGTTACTCAGTCATTTAACCCTTTACCTTTATCTAAACAGCCTAATAACTTCTAGAATTCTTAATAGAATTCTACGTCTTTTTCCACTTTAACGCCTTTTACTACATATTCATTCATTTATTTCGTTACTTTCCATGATAACCTAAGCATACCCATACTAAAAAAGCGACAGAATTAGCATTAAGGTCATTAAGAGTTGACTCAATCATTTGTTTATGAGCTTATCGATCTATGTATGGTTTTAGGTCAAACGAATTATACAAAGTGGATTGTTTTCACTGTGTGTGTGTGTGTCTAAAAGTTATGCTTCTAATAACAAATTACGCCTTCTTATTGCTTTGTCTAGATTCACATAGGAAAGTAATTGTTGCAAAAAAGTGGTTTGCCTTTTAATCACTTTTCAAGGAACGCGTCCTCAAGGACAATTTTAATCAATACTTCTCTGAATCATATATATATATATATATATATGTACATATGTTTTTCAGGTGTGACTACAGATTGATATCAGTAAGAGAATCACTGAAAACCAAGGGGGTGGGTACTGCTACACAGCTGTTTCACCCAAGTTTGGGTATCATCGTCAGTACACACCCAACGCGTCAGGGTTCAAAACCAGGACCTTTCGGTTACAAGGCAAGTTCGTAGACTATTCAGAAGCTGGGACCCGACTCAGTGGCCAGTCCACGAGTTCTAACTGCCAGATACTGTCAGTTCCCTGGAGTCCTATTGAGAAGTCGTGACCAGTGAGGTTCATCCTGTTGGGAGCGAGGATGGATTTCCAGCCGATGACATTGGTTGATGGTCCACTAAAATCACGAATTAGGAGAAGTCATAATTCATTGACTGGGCATTGAGTCAGGTCCCAATGACTGAATGGTATACGAGCCAGCTTGTCTTGTAGTCGGAAGGTCGTGCTTTCAAAATCCGTTAGACGTGTACTGGGAATGATTTCCAAACTAGGATGAAACATCTGTCTGGCAGTATTCCTTGGTTTTCGATGGTTCCTTTTTCTGATATTAATCCAAACTTGAAAAACAAAAAGCCGCAGTAAGTTCTGTAAGCCACTGTACGGAAATTCCTATTTGCAAGTATTGGTTTTGTAGGGATTTGGTTGATTAGTTACAGGATTTCATCATGATGTGACATCAGTTAGAGAACCACAGAAAAACCTGCAGGGAGTACTGGACAGCTGTTTCCTACGTCCTAGTTTGGGGCTCTTCAGCAGTGCGCGCCCACCAAAATTCGAACTGAGGACCTTCTAGTTACAAGGCAAGCTCGTAGACCATTGAGCCATTGTGACCCGATCCAACTGCCAGCCCATGAATTCTAACTTCTGCCGATTCACGACATAGCGTGGCCGTTTCGCAATGTCTTCTTCTCCTATTTGGACATTTAGATGACAGAAAAGAAGATTTAGCAGAGAATATTCACATTTGGATCATTTCTTCATCTGACTCAACCGTTAGTTGAAAAAATAATTGTTATTTGACAACCTTCATCTTGTTTTAAATAATGTCATGTTGTTGAGGCCAATAGAATTACAGTTCAGAGAGACATGTGTATGTGATAATATGCCTTAAAATACATAATACTACAATGAATATCAGACTTTAGAAAAAAAAAACTTAGAAGAAAATTTTGTGCAACAATTAAAAATAGTTTAAAAAATGATGGCAAAAGTAGGAAAAGCATTTGAACGATCTTCTTCTAAGGCAACATAAGTTAGGCTTCTTCAAGTGGATTCTGGAGACTTCAGCTACATGTAAAATTAAGATTAGCCGAAGTACATTAAGATGACTTTGAAAGCCTTGTTTGTCCCATGTAGTATGTTCTCCTTGACAGTTGATGTAACTGAATAGACTCATACTTGGATATTATAACTCTGAATGCAATTGAAAACTCAGTCGAAACGCTAAATACGATTATTCGTCCGTTATGCCTTCCTCCTCACTGAGCTGCATATATATCAAAATAAAAAGTCCGTCCTGTCACTGTAAGATACGAAGTAACTGCCGATAACGGTAATGAAGACTACAATAAACATGACGACTACAACGATCATCTGTTAGATAAAATATATAGTGAACATCGACCCTCCGACGAAATCAGAAGTCCTGAATGCAATCAAGATGCTAAAAGCTGGAAAAGCACCAGGACCAGATGGAATCCCAGCAGAAGCATTGAAAATGGACCCAGAGACAACAGCGGACTTGA